ACACTTGTACATTGCTGGTGGGACTGCAAATTGGTGCAGCCAATTTGGAAAGCAGTATGGAGATTTCTTGGAAAGCTGGGAATGGAACCACCATTTGACCCAGCTATTCCCCTTCTCGGTCTATTCCCTAAAGACCTAAAAAGAGCATGCTACAGGGACACTGCTACATCGATGTTCATAGCAGCACAATTCACAATAGCAAGACTGTGGAACCAACCTACATGCCCTTCAATAGACGAATGGATAAAAAAAAATGTGGCATTTATACACAATGGAGTATTACTCTGCATTAAAAAATGACAAAATCATAGAATTTGCAGGGAAATGGATGGCATTAGAGCAGATTATGCTAAGTGAAGCTAGCCAATCCCTAAAAAACAAATGCCAAATGTCTTCTTTGATATAAGGAGAGTAACTAAGAACAGAGTAGGGACAAAGAGCATGAGAAGAAGATTAACATTAAACTGGGATGAGAGGTGGGAGGGAAAGGGAGAGAGAAGGGAAATTGCATGGAAATGGAAGGAGACCCTCAGGGTTATACAAAATTTCATACAAGAGGAAGTGAGGGGAAAATAATACAAGGGGGAGAAATGAATGACAGTAGAGGGGGTAGAGAGAGAAGAGGGGAGGGGAGGGGAGGGGGGATAATAGAGGATAGGAAAGGCAGCAGAATACAACAGACACTAGTATGACAATATGTAAATCAATCAATGTGTAACTGATGTGATTCTGCAATTTGTATACGGGGTAAAAATGGGAGTACATAACCCACTTGAATCAAAGTGTGAAATATGATATATCAAGAACTATGTAATATTTTGAACAACCAACAATAAAAAAATTTAAAAAAAAAACTCTCATAACCCAATCATTTCTCCTCTAAATTTTGTACTGTCTCACACATGAGCCTTTGGGGGACACCTCACATCTAAACCATAATATTATAAAAACTGGAAAACAGGATATTTATATTTTAGACCCCAAATTGAGGTTTTTAATATATAATTTTAAATGTTTCTTCATATATTTTACTAAGGAAGAAGCAATTTTAGAAGTAAAACTCTTAATAAAACCAAAATAGTAAACAAATATGCTTATAAAATTTGTTGACCATATTGGAAATCACTATCATTTTTCATATCAACTCATGTTTCCCATAAGATGACATTACATACACATACACACACACACATAAAAAGAAAGAGTTTTCCCCCCTTTAAATAATAAACTTGAAAGTAAAAATGGGTAACTGCTATTAGCATGCAAAATCAATGAAAAATATACTTGTGAAGAAAATAATCCTTACGCAGTTATACTTTTTAAAAACTGTTTTAATTCCTTAATATACCTCTAAAGAAGAAAAACAGTATAATTTCTTATTCAAAATGTTATCTTATCAAAGTATATTCATATCAAAAGGTATCTACTTCAGTTTTATACAAAATCTTAAATTAAATTTTTTTTTAAAAATAACTATATTCTTAGTTCAAGTGAATAATTGTTAAAAACTGAAAAATTAACAAATAATTGTTTATTTCTCAAAAAAATTTTTTTGAGAGCAAAGTAACAGGATTTATTAGACTAGAAGGAAGGGAGGGAAGGAGGGAAAGAAGAGAGTAGGAAAAGTGAGCTCCAGAATGGGGAAGAGTCCTAGGAGAGGTGTACCAATGCTTTTTTAAAACAGTAAGAAAGATGCTATGGTTTGAATATTTGTGTCCCCCCAAGATTTACAGCCTGAAACTTTAACCCCCAAAGATGATGGTATTAGGAATGGGACCTTTGGGAGATGATTTGGTAATAAGAGTAAGCCTTCATGATTAGTATAAGTGTAAAAGAGACTTTAAAGAGTGAGCTCTCCCCCACCACCAGGTGAGGATGCAGCAGAAGGCAACATCTCTGAACCAGAAAGTGAGACTTCTCCAGACACTGAATCTGCTGGCATATTGATCTTGTACTTCTCAGGCTTCAAAACTGTGAGAAAGACACACCTGTAGTTTATAAACTACTCAGTTTGGTATTCTATTAGAGCAGAATCGATTAAGACAGGAAGGAAATAATCAGTGTGGCATAAAAAGTCATGGAGTATTCTGTGATTCCTACATAAATTTTAAATACAAAGTTATAATCTATTCAGACCTCCTTAGGACCTTTAGCAAAGAAAAATACTTATTCAAGGTACATGAATAATTTATAAAAACAAAAAGACCTAACATACATGATAAGTTTAGTGGGAAAAGAAACAATGAGGGTGATGAGAGAGAAAGAGGAAAGAGGATTCTAGGAAACAAAGTATGAAGAAAAAAGAGGGAAAATATGCTTTGAACCAATCCAGGAAATCCAAATTTAGATTGGGTGAATTAAGAACTTACTATTCATTCTTTTTGTAAAAGCCTACTTATAGGATACAATTAAATGCAAAGTCTCATTACATCTAAAACATAGTATTATTTATTTATAAAAATATCCATTCATACCTGTTTTAAAGAAGTAAATCTGCATAATAAACTACAGTTATATGAAAGTTTTTAATTCACTGGGCTGGGAATTTAGCTTGCTGGTTGAGCATTTTCCCAGCACATAGAATGCCCTGGGTTCAATTCCCAGAACAAATTAAAAAGGAAAAAAACAAGAAATTTTTGAGTTTACTACTCTGATCCAATCTTTGACTGTAATATCAATAAAATTTACTTCTATACTAATAAACAAATATATCCAACGGTCAAAAATTTATCCATAAGATAGAGAATCTGATAAAGAAACAGGAAGTTAAGTACTTTTCTATATAATTAACAAACAATGTTAGTAAGGCGTGTGTTTCTTCTAAAATCTTCAAAACAAAACCTAAAATATGAGCAGTCTTATTTAAGGAAAGCTGTGTTTGGAATCTTAAAGTTCACGAGGAGAATTTTTCCTAATATAACTACAGAAGTCCACATACAATTGATCACAACTCTAGGTATAGAAAATTGCCACATACTGAGATTTAGTTTGTATACTCTAGTTTTCAACCCTTATATGTGTGAGAACCTCTCAAAAACATCCCTCAGTACACATAGTGATTTTAAACCTATCATAAATGGGTTAAGAGCATAGTCATCTTGTGCATGAGGAAATACTATTCTCTGAGTTAACATGATTCAAATCACAACTCACAAAATAATCTATACTATATCAGAGTGCAGTTAAAGTGTACACATAAAGCCAGCTATCAGCAACAAATCCAAAAACATGAAACTAATTTGGGAAACTCCAGTAAACATAAAGCATGTGGATTCAAAGACCAACTAATACAACAAAAATGTAACAATTTTTAAAAGCCAAATTAAATTTGTAGTTAAAATATGCACACAATTCTACATACTTTGAGAATTTTTAGTAATTAAAAACAATAAAATTAGCCAGGTCTGGTGGCACACACCTGTAATACCAGTGGCTCGGGAGGCTGAGGCAGGAGGATCATGGGTTCAAAGCCAGCCTCAGCAACTTAGGGAGGCCCTAAGCAACTTGGTGAGATCCTGTCTCTAAATAAAACACAAAATAGGGCTGGGATGTGGCTCAGTGGTCAAATACCCCTGAGTTCAATCCTCGGTATAAAAAAAAAAAAAAAACTGATAAAATTAATAACATTTAAAAAGCTTCATAAGAACAGGTGACTTAAGAGAAAGATGGCATGCCAAAGAAGATCAAATGGAATCACCTTATTATTAGATTAAATGGAATTACCATGTTAACATGTCAATAAAAATAATTGTAAAAAATAATTAAAATCAATTAAGAAATCAGTAAATAATTTGGAAAACTACATAAAGTTTCTTGAAAAAAACATTTATACATTTCCCAAACAGTGAAATTTATGCTTTTCAAGTGCTCAAAAAATACTCTCAAATGCATTTAAAAGATAAAAGTATATTTTTAAAAGTCAACATAAATTGAAGTTTTGAAAATATAAATGGTATCTTATGTAGGAGTTTTTTTAAATCAGTAATAACACTAAAGGTAATTTGTGAAGTTTAATTTTAACATAAAAATTTACTGCAAGATTATTTTAACCCAGTTGTTAAGAAACAATTACACATTATTATTTCTTCTTTAATACCAAATAATGCTAATTAGGTATTAATGTTAATACCTAATTTAAATTAGGTATTTTAGGTAAATGAGCTAATCTGTTTCTTAAATCCAAAAATAAGCCAACAATGAAAAATAGGAATCTAACTTTCGTTCATTGTTTTAAAGTATTTTCTGCATCGTTTCCCCAAACATTAATTATAATTCTAATTGTGGCCAGTCTTATAGCTTCTAGTAAGGATCTAATCTAGGTCAACGATAAGCAAGTAAATGAGCATGAAAACTGTATGTACTAATTCTATGATATATACTCATTTTATGCACACACACATCTTTATCAAGCTTTCCTTAAATTGTATGTTTAGTTTTTCCTTCCAACTTAACTCAGGATTAAAGGGAACTCTAGAAGTCATAAATAGAGACCAAAACCAAGTCCCTTATTTTTGCTAAAATGTCAATCTAACTGTAGTAGATTTAAGGTGGATGTAAATAAACATTGTATATATTTCTCTTAATGCTATTCAAAAATCTCAGAAAATATTTCCCTGGTGGGGGGGGGGGAGCAATTTGATGTCTCAAATAGAAAGTTTCACTCATTAAAACAGTTTTAAATAACCTTACTTACAGATATGTGTTCTTAAAATAATGGTTGTGTAATATTCTACTTCAGTTATTTCTATATGGGAACTTAGTAAAACCTAGTTTATCAGTTAGTCAATAAACCTGTTCAATGAATACTAATAAATCTAAATTTATCCAGAATAACAAATGAGAATACATGCTATTTCAAAATAACATGCATCTCTTTAAAAATTCAGGCAATTTTCAGAATACTTAAATCACGTTGGCTGAGTTGAGGTTTAGTTTCTATAGAATAAAGTTTTTTTATTGTTTTATACTCTTTCATGAAATAAAAATTTGATTTAAACTACTTGATTATAATTACTTTCTTTTGCCTTGTACAGGATGCATTCCATTATTGGCCTACACCTAGTTACCCAGAAATATTAATGGAACAATACTGTTTCAATTAGGCACAATTTCTTCCACTTTAAAAATGAGGACTTCGAAGCCTAGTTCTATAACTAGTCATATTTTAAATTTGGATTTAAAAAATGTAGTAGAGGCACATTTTTTTAAACAAATACAGTATGAAATTTTGCTTTTCAGAGTCAGTGAAAATTTTTTTATGTTGTTTTTATGGCTATTTGCTTTACTTCCTTCTTTCCAACAAGATTAATAGCAATCTTCATTCTTTACAGTTAGAAACACACAGGCCTAAATTGTATCAAAACATAACATGGTATTGCCTGGTAAAGTCAGGTAATCTAGCACCATAAGAACAATTTGTACTAAATTTTAACACTATTCATTAACAGTTCCATTTTCCTGAGTTTGCGTTTGTTCCTTGGCATTGGCTTGGGATATAATCCATTTTTCAGAAGATATTCCTTGCTGAGGCGAATTTGAGCACCATGCTGAAGTTGGAAAGAGCATAAAGCTTGAAGAGGACGAAGCAAAGTCTGTTAAGGGAAGAAAAAAAAGACACTGAAAATTTATCTGTGACAAATCATGATACCCTACTTTTTTCTTTCAAAAACAGAGGGAATATTGCCCATATTTCTATATGGAAAACAAAGTTTAAACTACGTTTTATTCAAACATAGTAAAAAATTGTTGCTCTAATACTAATTTAATCTATAAAAAGCAGACTAAAAGAAACTTTTAGTTACAAAGATAAGTACATTGAATTAGTTAAGTCAGTTTCAGTAACAAAGAAATGCAAACTTACTGACAATGACAATTAAAGGGTGACAGCAGGAGGTTAAGTGGTTTACTTCTTCTCTCCCCAGAGTCTAGGACTACATACAAATTAGATACCTGGGCTTTAATGCATATGAAATCATCCTAACTACACGTGTGTATCTGTCTAAATTACCCTATAGGGCCTAGCATGTAATATAAACACATAAACTGAGTGGATTTAGAAGCTAACAGTGAAGGAAGGGGTTGTAATATAACTATAGTACACACTCTACTGAAAGTTATTTAAATTTAAAAAGAAATTTTAAAAACACTATGTCAGGGTTTTAAATACATTTTGGATTGGATTGTTTTCTTGGTCTTTAAACTTCTGCCTTAAACCTTTTAAATAGTAATAGCAATTTTTTTTTTTACTATGTAAATAGTAATAGCAACAATTTTTTTTACTATGTTTGAATAAAACATAGTTTAAACTTCATTTCTCTTGTCTAATCCAATGAACTTCTATTCTTCCCTTGTCCCCTCTTATTGTATATTATCATCCACACATTGGAGAGAACATTCAGCCTTGTTTTTTTGAAATTGGCTTATTTTTCTTTTCTCTCTCTCTCTTTTTAAAATTTATATATGACAACAGAATGCACTACAATTCTTTTTTAATATTTTTTTAGTTATACATGGACAGAATATCTTTATTTTGTTTATTTATCTTTTATGTGGTGCTGAAGATCAAACCCAGTGCCTCACATGTGCGAGGCAAGCGCTCTGCCACTGAGTCACAACCTCAGCCCTACAATTCTTATTACATATATAGAGTACAATTTTTCATATCTCTGGTTGTATACAAAGTATATTCACACCAATTTGTGTCTTCATACATGTACTTTGGATGATAATGATCATCATGTTCCACCATCATTTCTAACCCCATGCAACATCCTTTCCCCTCCAACCTCTCTGCCCTATCTAGAATTCATCTATTCCTCCCATGCTTCCTCTCTCCCTATCCCACTATGAATCAGCCTCCTTATATCCAAGAAAACATTTGGCATTGGGTTATTTGGGATTGGCTAACTTTACTTAGCATTATCTTCTCTAACTCTACCCATTGGGATTGGCTTATTTCACTTAGCATGATAATCTCCAGTTCCATCAACTTACTGGTAAATATCAAAATTTATTCTTCTTTATGGCTGAGTAATATTCCATTGTGTATATATACCACATTTTCTTTATCCATTCACCTGTTGAAGGGAACCTAGGTTGGTTCCAAAGTTTTGCTATTGTGAATTAAACTGCTATAAATATTGATGTGGCTGTGTCACTGGAGTACGCTGATTTTAAGTCCTTTGTGTATATACCAAATGGTATATAACTGGGTCAAATGGTGGTTCCTTTCCAAGTTTTCTGAGGAATCTCCGTACTGCTTTCCAGAGTAGTTGCACCATCTGCATTCCTACCAGCAACATATGAGTTAAACTTTTTCCCCCACAGCCTCCACAAAATTGTTACTTGTATTCTTGATAATTGTCTTTCTGACTGGAGTGAGATAAAATCTCAGTGTAGTTTTAATTTGAATTTCTCTAATTGCTAGAGATGTTGAACACTTTTTCATTTCATATATTTGTTGACCATTCATATTTCTTCTGTGAAGTACTTATTCAGTTCCTTTGTCCATTTATTGACTGGATTTGTGTGTGTGTGTGTGTGTGTGTTGCATTTTTTAAGTTCTTTGTATATCCTGGAGATTAATGCTCTGAGGTGCTGGTGGTAAAGATTTTCTCCCATTCTGTAGGCTCTCTCTTCATGTTATTGATTGTTTCCTCTGCTATGAAGAATCTATTTAGTTTGATACTATCCCATACCATCACATTTCAAGTTATTGATTCTTGATTTACTTCTCACACTTTAGGAGTTTTGTTGAGGAAGTCAGTTCCTAAGCCAACATGATGAAAAATTAGATCTACATTTTCTTCTAGTAAGTGCAGGAGCAGGATCTCTTGTCTAATGCCTAGGTCCACGTTGAGTTGATTTTTGTGCAGGGTGAGAGATAGGGATCTAATTTCATTTTGTTACGTATGGATTTCCAGTTTTTCCAGCACCATTTGTTGAAGAGGCTATCTTTTCTCCAGTGTATGTTCATGGTGCCTTTGTCTAGTATGAGATAACTGTATATATGTGGGTTTGTCTCCGTGTCTTTTATTCCACTGGTCTTCATGTCTGTTTTGGTGCCAGTACCATGATGTTTTTGTTAATACAGCTCTGTATTATAGTTTAAGGTCTGATATTGTGATGCCTGCTATAGCACTTTTCTTGCTGAGGATTTCTTTGGCTATTCTGTACCTCTAATATTTCCAAATGAATTTCAAGACTTGCTTTTTCTATTTCTATGAAGAAAGTCATCAGAACCTTAATAGGAACTGCATTAAATCTATATAGTGCTTTTGGTAGTATGGACATTTTGACAGTATTAATTCTGCCTATGAAAGAACATAGATATTTCCATATTCTAAGGTATTCTTCAATTTCTCTCTTTAGAGTTCTGTAGTTTTCATTGTAGAGGTCTTTTACCTCTTTTGTTAGATTGATTCCCAAATATTTTATTTTTTGAGGCTATTATGAATGGTATAGTTTTCCTAATTTCTCTTTCAGTTGATACATCACTGATGTATAGGAATGCAATTGATTTATAAGTGTTAATTTTATATCCTGTTACTTTGCTGAATTCATTTATGAGTTCTAGAAGTTTTCTAGTGAAAGTTTTTGGATCTTCTAAATATATAATCATGTCACTGGCAAATAGTAATAGTTTGAGCTCTTCTTTTCCTATTTGTATCCTTTAATTTCTTATAATTGCTCTGGCTAGAATTTCAAGGACTATGTTGCATAGAAGTGGTGAAAGAGGGCATCCCTGTCTTATTCCAGCTTTTAGAGGGAATGCTTTCAATTTTCTCCATTTAGAATGATGTTGGCCTTGAGTTTAGCATATAAAACTGTTATAATGTTGAGATAAGTTCCAACTATCACTAGTTTTTCTAGTGTTTTGCTCATGAATGGATGCTGTATTTTGTCAAATGCTTTTTCTGCATCTGTTGAGATAATCATGTGAATCTTGACCTTAAGTCTATTGATGTGACGAATTACATTTATTGATTTCTGTATGTTGAACGAGCCTTGCATCCCTGGGATGGACTCCACTTGATCGCGGTGCACTGTTTTTAATGTTTTTGTATGCAATTTGCCAGTATTTTATTAAGAATTTTTGCATGTATGTTCATCAGGGATATTGGTCTGAAGTTTTCTTTCTTTGATGTGTCTTTGTCTGGTTTTCATATCAGGGTGATACTAGCTTCATAGAATGAGTTTGAAAGGGTTCTCCCCCTTTTCTCTTTCATGGAATAATTTGAGGAGGATTTGTATTAGTTCTTCTTTGAAGGTCTTATAGAATCCATCTAATCCTGGGATTTCCTTTATTGATAGGCTTTTGATAGCATCTTCTATTTCATTCTTGAAATTGATTTGTTTAAATTTTCTACGCCTTCCTGACTCCATTTCGGTAGGTCCTATGCCTCTAGATATTTGTTTATGTCTTCAAGATTTTCTATTCTACTGGAGTATAAATTTTCAAAATAGCTTCTCATTATTATTGGATATCAGTAGTGTCCATTGTGATATTTCCTTTTTCATTGCAAATTTTTGTAATTTGAGTTTTCTCTCTTTCTCTTTGTTAGCGTGGCTAGGGATTTATGAATTTATTTATTTCAAAGAACCAACTTTTTGTCTCATTGATCTTTTGATTGTTTGTTTCAATTTCATCAATTTAGGCTCTGGTTTTAACTATTTTTCTGTCTTCTGCTTTTGATGTTGATTTGTTTTTCTTCTCCTAGGGCTTTTAGATGTAACGTTAGGTTATTTGGCGGCTTTCTATTATTTTAATGAATGAGCTCAATGCAATGAACTTTCTTCTCAGAACCGCCTTCAAAATCTCAGAGATTTTCACAAGTTGTATTGCTGTTAATATTTACCTCTAAGTATTTTTTTTAAATTCATCCCTATTTCTGCTATCCATTGGTCTTTTAATAGTGTATTATTTGGTCTCCAGGTGTTAGAGTAGCTTCTATTTTTTAATTTATCATTGATTTTTAATTTCATTCCATTTTGACCAGATAGGATGAAAGGTATTATCTCTCTCTTTTTTTTTTTTTTCATATTTGCTGAGTTGCTTTGTGGCCTAATATATGGTCTACCTCAGAGAAAGATCTGTTACTGATAAGAAAGTTTATTCAGTCATTCATGGATGAAATATTCTATATATGTCTGTTAAGTCTAAATTATTAATTATACTTTTTAGTTCTATAGCTTCTTCATTTAGTCTTTGTTTGATGAGCATGTTAAAGTCACCCAGTATTATCGTGTTGTAGTTTATTTGATTCTTAATATTGAGAAGGATTTGTTTGATATAAGTATATCTTCCATTGTTTGGGGCATAAATATTTACAATTGTTATGTCTTGTTGATGTATAATTCCCTTAAGCAGTATGAAACCCCATTGAATTTAACTGCTGCAATAAAGACTCTGTTTACATGCAGTCAAACATAATTCCTAATCAATGTACACCAACGGAAAAAACAATTAATATTTTGCAAAAGCTTTACAAAATATAATTGTTGAAAGTCCCTCAGGTATATTCTCATAATTTTTAAAAATAAAGCAGGAGAGGAAATGGGGAAGTATATATTACTTTACAGAGTGAGCACA